AGTCGGACTGGGGGGGCGAGTATCGCAACCTCAACTCCTTCTTTCAGTCGCTTGGGATAGCTCATCGTTTAGCATGTCCACATACACATCAGCAGAATGGTTCAGTCGAACGTAAGCATCGTCATATTGTTGAAGCTGGTCTTACTCTTTTGGCCCATGCATCTGTTCCGTTTCGGTTTTGGAGTGATGCTTTCACCACTGCATGCTTTCTCATCAACCGTACTCCCACTCGTGTTTTAAACATGAAGACTCCCATTGAGGTTCTCCTTAATGAACAACCTGATTATACCTTTTTCAAGGTATTTGGATGTGCTTGCTGGCCGCATCTTTGTCCATATAATAAGCGCAAGCTTGAGTTTCGTTCTAAGAAGTGTGTTTTTCTTGGCTATAGCTCTCTTCATAAAGGTTACAAATGTCTTCATGTTCCCACTAATCGTGTCTATATATCTCGGGACGTCGTGTTTGATGAGCATGTTTTTCCCTTTGCCAAACTTTCTGTGTCCACTGTCGAACCACCATCTCTGCATTCATCCTCTGTTGCTTCTGACCAATTTGATGATGTTGCATACTCTCCTTTGCTGTTACCTAACCATGGTGCAGGAACCGGACGTGGGGCTCGTTTGGAGCTGTTGGAGGATTCACCATCATCATCGCCGCCTTCTGATGGGCACGTCGATCGCCCTATGTTGCATGGCATCGATTCGCGTGCCCATGCATGGTCACCCGAAGAGCCCGTCGCGCCGAGCATCTCCACTGCTCGGTCCGCTACGCCAGCGACCGCCGAGTCTCCAGCGGCTCGGCCCTCTTCGCCAGTGGCCGCCGAGTCTTCAGCGGCTCGGCCTGTCACGCCGTCTTCGCCCGCGGCTCGGCCCGTCACGCCGTCTTCGCCTGCAGCTCGGGTCCGCGACGCCGTCCTCACGTCGCCTTCATCCGCGGATCGGCCCGCGACACCGGCCGCGCCACGGCCCACTATGTCGGGCTCGCCATCGGCCCGGTCTGTGACGCCGGCATCGCCAGCTACTTCGTCTGCTCTGCCGGTTTCGCCGGTGGGCCGGCCTTCTTCGCCGACCGAGCCCGAGGCTACTGTGTCTGGCTCCTCGTCACCGGCTGACTCGTCAACGTCGCCGTCCTCCAGCCCGTTGCAGGCTGCTCCGTCGACCTCGGTGGTTCCTGTGTCCCGACCACATACACGCAGTCGCAGTGGCATTTTCAAACCTAAGGAACGTAAGGATGGTACAGTTGCTTGGTTGGCTGCTTGTTTGGCTGCTGCTGTTGCGGATCCATCTTCTGAGCCTCGCTCATATCAGGCTGCCCTGCGCATTCCACATTGGCGAGAGGCTATGGAGCAGGAGTTTCATGCTCTCCTTCGTAACAAGACATGGACTCTCGTTCCTCCACCACCACGGGTAAATGTTATTGACTCAAAATGGGTATTCAAAGTGAAGAAGCATTCGGATGGATCTATTGAGCGTTACAAAGCGCGACTTGTTGCTCGCGGTTTTTGGCAGCGCCATGGTCTTGACTATGAGGACACCTTCAGTCCTGTCGTCAAGCCTACCACTATTCGGCTTCTTCTCTCCATTGCTGTTTCTCGTGGTTGGTCACTTCGTCAACTTGATGTGCAGAATGCTTTTCTACATGGATTTTTGGAGGAAGAGGTTTATATGAAACAGCCGCCTGGTTTCTCTGATCCTGATCGTCCTGACTATATATGTCGTCTCTCCAAAGCACTATATGGTTTGAAGCAAGCTCCTCGTGCCTGGCATGCCCGCCTTGCCTCTGCCCTTCGTGCTCATGGGTTTGTGCCGTCCACTGCTGACACTTCATTATTTCTTCTACAGAAGCCAGAAGTCACTATGTATCTTTTGGTATATGTCGATGATATTATCCTTGTCAGCTCTTCTCAGTATGCTGCTGATGCTCTTGTCTGCTCTCTTGGTGCTGATTTTGCGGTCAAAGATCTTGGGAAGCTTCACTACTTTCTTGGAGTTGAGGTCACTTCTCGTGCTACTGGTCTTGTCCTTACGCAGAAGAAGTACTCCTTGGAGTTGTTACAAAGAGCGGGCATGCTGGAGTGCAAACCGACCACCACACCCATGTCGTCTACCGACAAGATAACAGCTGTTGATGGTGAGCTTTTGTCTCATGCGGATGCCACAGAGTACAGGAGCATTGTTGGTGGACTTCAGTACTTGACGATCACGAGACCAGATATCTCTTATGCTGTTAACAGGGTTTGTCAGTATCTTCAGGCTCCCAGAGATACTCATTGGGCTGCTGTTAAACGCATTCTTCGTTATGTTCAGTTCACCCTGACATTTGGTATGCATATTCGGCCGACTTCCTCTCGGGTCCTTTCGGCCTTCTCTGATGCAGATTGGGCTGGTAGCCCAGATGACAGGCGATCCACGGGGGGTTATGCAGTATTCTTTGGCCCTAATTTGATCGCCTGGAGTGCTCGAAAACAGGCTACTGTGTCACGTAGCAGTACTGAAGCTGAGTACAAGGCTGTGGCTAATGCTACTGCAGAGATTATTTGGGTGCAGTCTTTGCTTCAGGAGTTGGGTTTGTCTCAACCACAGCCTCCTATTCTTTGGTGTGATAACATCGGTGCTACATACCTTTCTGCAAATCCAGTATTTCATGCCCGAACGAAACACATTGAAGTTGACTATCACTTTGTACGGGAACGTGTATCACAGAAGCAACTCCAGATCAAGTTTATCTCATCTAAGGATCAACTTGCAGACATCTTCACTAAGCCTTTACCTCTGCCACAGTTTGAGGCTTGTAGGCGCAATCTTACCCTTCTCGGTTCTTTAGAAAGTGGCTAAGATTGAGGGAGGGTGTTAGACTATGTATAGCTTCTGTACTTATGTACGTATATTGTACGTATTGTAACACATTCATTATATATAATGAGATAAGCCACCCCTAGAGGGTTGTGCTGGTTCCCCCAAAACTTATTGTCTTACAGTCTCCCACGGATTGATAAATTTTAGGTCATCCACTTAAGAGAAATTTGCTACTGTCCTATAAACCTCTGCACTTGGAGGCCCAACAACGTCTACAAAAAAAAGGTTGTGTAGTAGACATCAGACGGCATGGAGTAGCTGATTTTCCGTATAAAATCTAGATGGATTGAGTGTCTTTGTGTAATTCACATGTAAGCCACTCGTGAAGGGGCTCTTCTCCCTCTCACTCTTCCTCTTTAATGCATGATACGCACGCTTTTGCGTGTTCTAGAAAAAAGTTATGTGTTCTCCTCGCATTGAGGTATCACCTCACCAGATGGGAAAAGAGACCCGGTCTTAATATAAAAAAAATCGGCTGCCGACATGCCTATTGATCGCGCGCTGGGGCGCACAGGGGAACAGGACCCGCGCGATGGAGTTGCCGTGTCCGGCATACGTGGCCTTCTGGAGCGACACGTGTCGGCACCCGCCTCATTTCCCTCTGCCGATTCTCTTCGCTTTTCTATTCCTCTGCGGTTCCTTGCTGGTCTCCTCGAGTTGGCGGAGAGAAGAAAAGAAGGAAACACGCCAGATTTCAGAGAGAGAGAGAGAGAAGGAAACACGCCATGGAGTCCGGAGCGGAGACGTCGTGAAGTATTGAGTTTCGTACGTCGGCGGCGGCGGCGGCGGCGGCGGCTCGAGGGCAAGGTGGGTCGGAGCTTCTCGCCTGATTCATGGCGTAAGTTGATATGGGCTTTGGTATCGATTCCCTTTTCTCTTTCAAGTTCTTGTGGAAATCTCGTGCAGAATTGGCATCCTAACTTTATTTCGGCGGACCTATTTTATCAGAGTTTAGGCTTTCCCCCGCTCCCTCTAATCACAAGTTCGAACCCACCCGATTTCCTTTCTTCCCTTCAGACTCCAGTTCATGCAAAAATAAGAACAGAGCTTTCCTGTACCCAAGACCAAACACGAGCGTTTGGAGTTATCCTGTTCAGAAAAATAAGCTGAACATTTTTCCATTTTTGTGTAGGGCATGCTTGATCGTATTACTCTTAATTTAGCACAGTTCTTTGTTTATTGGAAAAGTATCAGTTAATCAGTAAGTCGATTCAGTTAGCTGAAAATGACACTAAAGGTCTCAACAAGTGTTACTTGCTGCCCAAAATCAGCGGTTTCCAATTTTCTCCTCAATTTCTGCAAAGAAAAGAAAGACGTTAGTTATTTAGATAAATATAAAAACGTTGTACTAACAATTAGTTAAAGAGTGGAACTAGGAAATAATCATGTTACACTGATACAAGGTGATTTGGTCATTTTTTGGAACTTTTAGTTTCAATCTGTACTCCACACTCGGCACTTCCAATACTGATTAAACATAGAATAACAGTTAGCACGAAACACGTTACACCAAAATAACCAACTTGTGTTTTCCACAATTTTGGTAAGTTTCATGTTATTTCTAAGAATGTTTTCGTGATCCCTTGACATAGACATGTCTTGCGATGTGCTTCACTTGCAATTGACGTGCATTTGTAAATATCGTAATGTCCGTGGTTAAATTGTTCTCTTAGTCTTACTTTTTTCGAAAAGGAGGTTATCCCCCGGCCTCTGCATCAGAATGATGCATGCGGCCATGTCTTACTCTAAAGCATTCTTTTAGTATACCATCTATGAGCTTATTGAGATATTTTGCAAGGAAGAGGTTTGCATTCATAAATTTGTATTCTGCCCACCAGCATATTTCGTAGTGTGGCTAATAACCTGTGAGTCTACACATACTTTGCTTTCATGATATTTGTACATGTTAATGGTTCTAAAATACAAGCATCGACCGGTTCTAGCATTATCTTTCTGCCGTGTGTTGATTAATTCTGCTCTTATTGCAGATCATACTTTGGGAGTTTATTAAGTATTTGCAAGGTTAAATGATTGACCATTTCGCTCAAATCAAGGATGTTGCCATTGTTAAAAGGATGTAGTTTCTTGTCATGATGTCTATCCTCGGCTCAAGATTCTAACTCAGTTGGGTCATCAACGTCAAGGATGGACTGGTTGAAGGATCAATTAAACATGTTTATGTTCAGTTTATACAGTGAATCTCCTAAACCATCAGAATTCTGGATCCCCATTGCTGCATACCTCACTGTTGGTATACTCAGTCTTTTGATGTTTTTGTACCTCTTCTCGTTGTGGAGGCGAAAGATCAGTGTAAGCTGGATGAAAGTGATCGCCCGGTCAAAAAGGAGAAACTTCGAGAGAAATCAAAAGGTCCCTACTGCTGAACATATATGGTCTGCAGAATCTCTACTTCGTGCAAAAGGACTGAGGTGCTGTGTGTGCCTAGAATCTATTACACCTGCTCAGCCCCTTGGGACAGTGATAACATCAGAGAACATGGTTCACCGCTGTGATGTTTGTGGTGCCGCTGCGCACACGATCTGCTCTTCATACTCTCAGAGGGACTGCAAATGTGTCTCGTTGCTGGGTTGGAAGCATGTAGTCCACCAATGGACCGTGCTGTGGACCGATATAGCTGACCAGCCTGAAGAAGCTCAGTATTGTAGCTACTGTGAGGAGCCATGCAATGGGTCTTTTCTTGGAGGTCCAATATACTGCTGCATGTGGTGCCAACGGCTGGTGCACGTTGATTGCCACTCAAGCATGTCTACCGAGACAGGCGATGTTTGCGACCTCGGTCCATTCAGACGCCTAATTCTTTCCCCACTTCACGTTGGGGCCAAGAACAAGCCTGGTGGGATTTTAAGTTCTATAACTCAAGGTGCAAATGAGCTTGCGTCCACCGTGCGGGGACATCTTAGGAACCGAGGTAAAAGGCAGAAATATGATAAAAGATTGTCTTCTGACTCTATGGCTGGTGAGAGCAACGATGATTCATCAAGCGATACCGCACCATATTCTAACCAGAGGGCCAAGGAATTAAAAACAAATGTTGGCAGTGTTCAGAGGCATGCTGAGAATGAACATGATAGTAGCGAGAGCGATTGTAAAGAGGTCGTATCAGAACCGAGAAGACTCCATAATGATGACACAGGAGGAGCCAAACTCAAGTATGTGTTGACTGACCTGCCTGCTGATGCCAGACCTCTTCTAGTATTTATCAACAAGAGAAGTGGAGCTCAGCGTGGAGATTCTCTCAAGCACCGGCTACATTTCCTTTTGAACCCGGTGCAGGTCATGACACTTCTCACACTAGATCTGTACTTATGGCATAGTTATTTATTAGTGAACATTGTCATCGATCTGCTGTTTTCCTTTATTTACCAGTTCTGAATTTATGCTTACCAATTGAAAGGTCACTCCATTGTGGACATTTGTGATGCCATATATTAATCACACAACCCACCTTAGAACTTTTGCTCAGATCGTTGCCATTTCCTTTGTGACTAATGTGATGTATTTATTTATTTTATTTAGGTGTTTGAGTTGAGTTCATCACAAGGGCCAGAGGCAGGATTATTGTTGTTCCGAAAGGTACCACATTTCAGAATACTTGTGTGTGGTGGCGACGGTACTGTTGGTTGGGTTCTCGATGCAATAGATAGACAAAATTATGCATCACCTCCGCCTGTTGCAATTCTTCCAGCTGGCACTGGCAATGATCTTTCAAGGGTTTTATCATGGGGAGGCGGTCTCGGTTCTGTTGAGAAGCAAGGTGGCCTCTGCACAGTTCTGCATGACATAGAGCATGCGGCAGTCACCATTCTAGACAGATGGAAGGTAACAGTAGAAGATAAGCAAGCACAGAACGTGCTTTTGGTGAAGTACATGAATAATTATCTAGGTAGGTGTGGATATTTACTCGCTCTTTTTTGCGTGGATATTTACTTTTATCTGTGCAGTTGATCCAAGGAACTTATTTTTCCATGTTGACAGGTATTGGTTGCGATGCAAAGGTTGCACTTGACATTCATAATCTCCGCGAGGAAAATCCAGACAAGTTCTACAGTCAGGTAGTTTCTCTACCACAAATAGCAGTCTCATACATGAAAAACGCTTTACATTGTCCTCTTTCGGTGTCTAAACATATTGCTGTACTATTATCTTAACAAAACCAAACAGTGTGCCTTGAGCTCTTCTCATTTTACAAGGTCGTTTTCGTTACGCATGTAGTAACATTTCTCTTGTGTGTTTCAGTTCCTAAACAAGGTGCTGTATGCAAGGGAAGGCGCAAAGAGTATCATCGATAGGACATTCGCAGACCTACCTTGGCAAGTTAGGCTAGAGGTTGACGGAGCTGAGATCGATATACCAGAGGTTTAACAAGACGAATCTTGCGACTATTATACTCACCACCACTATCTATCATGCTAATGCATGTGGATGTTTCAGGATTCAGAAGGCGTCCTCATTGCAAACATCCCAAGCTATATGGGAGGGGTTGACTTGTGGCAGAACGAGGAGGAGAATCTCGACAACTTTGACCCACAGTCGATCCATGACAAGATGCTTGAAGTAGTTAGCATCAGTGGAACCTGGCACCTGGGGACACTTCAGGTAAGCGAGCAGTAACATTTTCGACGAATAAACAAAACGCTGGAGGATGGATAAACAACAACAGAGTTGGTTTTATCAGGTCGGTCTTTCTCGTGCGTGGAGGATCGCTCAGGGCCAATCGATCAAGCTACGGTTCTCTGCCCCTTTCCCGGTTCAGGTGGACGGGGAACCTTGGGTCCAGCACTCGTGCACGCTGAAGATATCCCATCATGGACAGGTCCGGAAACTGCCAGAGTGCGACTATGATGATTTGGAAACTGCTCTGCTTCTTCTAACTCTGCCTCTGTGCTCGTGTCGTTCAGGCTTTCATGCTAAAGCGAGCAATCGAGTCGTCGCTTGGCCATGCCACCGCGATCGTCACGGACGTGCTTGAACATGCCGAGACGAGTCAAGTGATCACGACGTCGCAGAAGAGAGCCCTCCTGCAAGAAATGGCCCTAAGGCTCGCGTAAATCCTCACCGCGAGGCGAACGCCGCGGAGCATTGCTTTGCTGTGGTTGAACCGCAACGGCAGGAGCACCTTGTCCTCGACGGTGACATGCAGGAAGGCTGTGCAAAGGGATATGTACAGTGTGATTGTTGTGTTGTGTGTACATGATGTAGGTCTTTCTGCAGTCACGGAATGCCTCTCGGTGTTGAAGCGTGCAAAAAAGATGTTGTTCTTGTCTGATATATATTTGCCCACGTTGAAACAATTACGAGGCACCGAGGAGGCCGGCCTCCCAGAGGCTACTCGCACCGCCGCCGTCGGACTCCTCCCAGCCAAACGCTGCACGACCCACAGCCATAGCGGGTCACCGGCGAGAGGCGGCCACCTCCTCTCTGCTGCGAAGCCGCAGCCCACTCGGGCCCAGATTGGGTCTGTCAGACCATTGTGCCTGCCGCGCGCCTCGGCGCTGCATTGCGCGTCAACCACAGACCATGGACACAACCACGGCCGGCGAAAGATACGAGCCGCACATCCCGCGCGAAAGCAAGTCACCACCGCATACACTACACAGAGCGCGGCCGCACGAGAATAGGCCAGCATGAACCCAGACGAGGCCCCTGGATAGCCTCCACCGCCTAAGACAGGCCCGCCACCCAAGCGCAGAGATCCGCCCGCGTCGCCCCGATAGGAGAAGCCTCACCTCTGCCGTCCGTCGCACGGGTTAAGCCCGGCCGCATCAACCGAGAGCAGCGAGGGGAATGGGTCGCACGGGTTAAGCCCGGCCGCATCAACCGACAGCAGCGAGGGGAATGGGTGGACAGGAGGGAGTCCTCCTCGTCGCCTTCAGCGCCACCAAGCGACCGTGGCGCCCGCGCGCGCCTCCTTCTGGGCCGGCCCATTAAACCATCGCTACCTCTTCTTTGGCTCCCGCTCGATCGCTAGTCCCAGCTCGATCATTTTTTTCTCTCGCCAAAAACTGCTACGTTAGGTACTGATTTTCTTAGAAAAACCCAACCGGTTTACTACAGTATGTACTACAGTTTTTAGAAAAATAGTTCATCGATTTTGAAAAAAGTTCATCAAATTTAAAAAAAATCATAAAAATTGAAAAAAGTTCATCGGTTTTGAAAAAAGTTCATCGAATTTCAAAAAAGTTCATCGAATTTCAAAAAAGTTCACCAGAAATGAAAAAAAGTTCATCAGATTTGAAAAAAGTTCATCGAATTCTAAAAAAAGTTCATCAGATTTGAAAAAAGTTCATCAAATTCGAAAAAAAGTTCATCGACTTTGAAAAAAGTTCATCGGTTTTGAAAAAAGTTCATCGGATTTCAAAAAGTTCACCAAAATTGAAAAAAAGTTCATCAGATTTGAAAAAAGTTCATCGAATTTAAAAAAAGTTCATCGAATTCTAAAAAAAGTTCATCAAAAATGGAAAAAGGTCATTGAATTTGAAAAAAAAATGTTCATCCATTTTGCAGAAAAAACATGAAGAAAAAGAAAAATTCTCAAATTTGAAAAATAAACTTTGGAAAAAGGGAAAAGGAAAGATGGGAGAAGAAAGGCAGGAAAAAGATGTAAAAGATTACAATGGGAGAGCTGGCGCAGTGGTAATTGCATTGTTACTTGATGTTAAAGGTCCCAGGTTCGATTCTCCTCTAGCGCTCTTTTTTGCCTTATGTTAAACATATAACCACAGGGGGGATGGGCCGGGCCCGTTAGTAGCGAAGGAAGGCAGGGGGTATGCGCCCGATTGTAAAATGAACTAAATCGGGCGCTTAAGGCGCCAAATAGGATTTGGCGACAGGAGGGGGACTGTTGGGAATATAGCTACCAGGTAAGACCTAGCACCAATGGCGGGTTACAAAAGAAGCCCAGTAACATTTAAGGTGATAGTTTATTAAGACTTATAGAAGGCCTAAAGCCTAGAGGCGGCTTAAGGCCCAATATTGTAAACTGCCATTGTAAGGAAAGACTTGTAAAGAAAGACATACAAAGAAGTCACCGAGCCGGACACGTTTTATGAACCGACCGGGACTCTGTAGGCCGCCAGGCGTCAACCCGTGTATATAAGGGGACGACCCGGTAGCGGCTTAGGGCAAGAAACAAGAGATCGATAACCAAGCCGACAGATTAGCCTCTTGGTGATCGAAACCCCAGCAACTAGACGTAGGCTTTTACCTTCATCGTAAGGGACCGAACTAGTATAAAACCTCTCGTGTCCTTTGTCTCGATTAACCCCTTTAAGCTTCTTAGTTGCGATGGCCCTACGATTAAGTCCTTTTACTAGGACATCTGCCGTGACAATTCCATGACAGTTGGCGCCCACCGTGGGGCCTGCGCACGATGGATTTGAGTTCTTGAAGGGCAACTTCGAAGAGCTCAAGGGATACGTTATGGGCTGGATGATCAAGAGTCGTCGCGGCAAGCTCTACATCGACGACGAAGGCTGGGGCCCCGAGGCCAGTTCAATTGAGTACGGGTACCGGGTCCCCTTCGGCGGGATTCATGTCTTCATCGGTCGGATCGGTGAATCGGGCCCTGGGCCGGACGTCTGCACTAACATCATCGAGATGGCTCAGCGCGCGAGATCCGCCTGGGCCCGACCCGCCGTAAAGCGTGCCTTTGTGGGTTGCATCCATGGAGGTGAATACTCGGAAGGATCAATGGATGGCGGTGAGACGGCCATCTGTTCTGACGCTACGTCATCAACAGGCGAGACGGACTCTTTGTATCAGCTGCAGGATGGCATGCTCGGGGGCTGTTTCGATGGCAACAGTATTCCGGACCCCTTTGAGCCGCCGAATCGAGCCAGAGTCTTCATGGTAGGCGCTCAGCCCGGGCAGAACTCCACGGCTGCAGTAGCAACAACCACCGGGTCGGCAGCGGCCGGGTCAGGAGACCCCGCGCGCTCCCCGGCTCAGATGCTAATGGGCCTCATGGATAAGCTAACGGCTCTATTGACTGTTGTGGTAGAGCCGGCGGATAAACCTCAGCATGACACGGAGGTGGCACGGGTACGCGAAGAGATGGCACAGGCAAAGGAAAATTTAGCAGCAAAAGAGGTCAGGATGGCCGCGGAGCGGGCGGCTTTGGACGCTCATGCTCAGCAGATTCAAGCGGAGACCTTCCGGCTCTCGGTGGATCTGAACACGTCAAATGAGGTCATGAGAAGAAGGTATCAGAAAACTCAATCACGTCTACCTCTAACGCTCGATCCTAGGAACCTTTTCCACACACCCGAGGCCGGTCCAAGTAACCCGCCGGAGGCAAATCGGATCACGACACCCAGAGCACCGGTTCAGCCGCGGGCCATGGAACCACCTCGTATGTATATCGCTCCGCCTCATTATGCGCCAACACCACCGTGTCACTTCTCCAATCCTTTAGAAAACCTCATTGCTGTGTTGGCTCATTTGGCGGCTCCCCCGATGGAAGGCGACTCTCCGACAGCAATCGAAACACGAAGGGTGAGAGAACTTCTTCAGACGGCTCTGGCGCAGCAGGACGCCTACACTTACAGTCGAGACAGAATCCATTCAACCCCTCGCCCGAGCCGGAGCCCGAGCTATAGCAGGCATATGGACTCAACTGATATATCAAGAAACGCTCAACATTGTAACCAACCGCGCATGCATGAGCCGGTGCAGGCTAGAGCCCTTAACTTAGCGGATCAGGAGAGGATCCGTCAAGAGGCTGAGCGGGCGGTTCAACTGGCAGCTAAGCAGGCGGCTCATCAGGCTTTTCCGGCTTATCCAGCAACCTCTGTTGAGGCAGGAGTAGCCACAAGAACATGAGGTGTCCCGTGCCTGGTGCCAACCATACGTAATGAGCGCTTGCCCAAAGACTTCAGGGGGCCTCGTAAGGTGCCTAATTACATGGCCGACTTGTAGCCTGGGGCCTGGATTGAGAGTTATGAGATGACGATGGAGCTGTTGGAAGTCAGCGATGCAGCAATGGCTAAGTATTTTACTATGATGTTGGATGGAACGGCTCACACGTGGTTGAAAGGATTGCCCCCCAATTCCATCAGCTCATGGGCGGAATTAAAAGCCCGATTCATTCAGAACTTCAAAGACACATGCAAACAATCTATGTCAATCATGGACCTGACTAATTGCAAGCAAGAGGAAGGCGAGTCCACAACCCATTGGGTGCGCCGGGTCAAGGAGATAATGCATTCATCTGATAAGATGGATGCCGGCTCGGCAGTCTTAATGTTGGAGAAAAATGCCGTTTCAAACCTCTGAAGCAGAAGCTGGGGTGGCTCAAGCGTGACTGCAATGACATGGGCCAGTTGATGGCTTCTCTGGTCAAGTATCCTGATTCTGACAGTACCAAGGATCTTGTGTCTGATGAAGAAAAAACAGGGAAGGGAAAGAAGAACAACAACGGCAAGGGTCACCAGCATAACCCGGCAAACCAGGGAGGTAATAAACGTAAGGCTGACGAATTTGTGGCTAACACCAATGCACAGGGCAACAACCAACAGTGCAAGGGTAGGCAACCCCCTCGGTCAGGCGGGTCAGGTCCCACCCTTGAGCAACTATTGAATGAACCTTGTCCAAGACACGACACCTGGGAGAAGCCAGCCACCCATCTTTGGAAGAACTGTACAATCATGAAGGCATTTTAAAATTCCAACACATTTGATGGAAGTCACGGGCCTAGCGGCGGTTTAGGCGGAGGCGGCTTTCATGGCTCGGGCGCCGGTTCAGGTGGAGGCGGTTTTCACGGTCAGGGTCATCCGGGTAACCAGGGAGGTTATAATCCACAACCCGGCCAAGGTAATCAGCAGCAACAGTTTGGTTATCAGAGCAACCCAAAACAATTGAATAGTGGGCAGTACCATGTATTTACCACTAGTTTATGCAAGAGGGACCAGAAGCTTCATAAGAGGGTTGTCAATGTCGTTGAGCCAGCGATTCCACGTTATTTGAGGTGGTCAGAACAGCCTATTGTGTGGAGCAGAGAAGATCATCCTCCCCGGGTTGATAATCCGGGTCACTTAGCCTTGGTGGTGGC